AATTTAATACTAAAATAAAATACTTAAAAGTTTGAAAAAAAATTATTTGATTCAAATAAATTCGCAACATCCAAAATTAAATGATAGGCTTAAAATAGCCATTAAAAATCCATTATTTAAATTCTTCTCAAGTGAGATAAGTGAAATTCTGCTATATTTTATGGCAAAAATTTTTCGTTTAACACTGAAGAACCGCACTAGTTTATTAAAACAATTTTACACCGTAAATACACTAGAGGGACTTGAAATTTGAAACTTTTAGATACTCTAACATCCTGAAGTAGATTTCTCTTCTGATTAAAATATTGTTGCGTTTTTCTTTTCTGACACCAGTTGTTAGGTTATTTTCTTCCTTCACGTTCTTGCGGGGTTCGTGTGGATTTGGAGTGAATAACGACGACGAAGTATTGAGGAAGTATCGAAACACACTTTATTTAGCCAATATTAATCAGGACAGCTCCAAAATCACGTTACAGTCGTCGAAGAACTACTATAAACACGCTGGAACAATCAGCGACACAGCCTTCAGGTTATCAGGCTATCACGGTGAAGATAGCTTCACTGCAAAGCCCTAGAGTACAGCTCCCGATTCTACTTGGTCGTACTCGGAACTCCACATACTCTCGAGACCCTCCAGGCTACAACTCGCGATGCACTCGACGACACACAGAGCACAGCTCCCGACTCTTCGGTTCAGTCGTTCCCGGAGCTCAATACGCTCTCTCGACGATGCACTAACCGCGATACACTAAGAGACTCCTTCGGGGCACTCGACGACCCATTCGGCACTCGCTGCCCGGCTGTCAATTCGATGGACTCCGCAGGGACTGACTAACTCGCACTCTAGACGAGGCACACTCCCCCGCAGCACTCTTAATGAGGCACTTGTCCTCTCGATGAAGCACACTCTGACTGCGGACAAACAGGGCTGATATAATTTTCGGCTTGTGTTCGGGAACATTCTGGGCTTAAACGGTAAGAATTCGTTCCAGAAGGTTCTCCATCCGTCCATGGAATATCGGCAATTTTGTCGCCAAATGGGCGATTTCTAGCCAAATCTGGAAACCCTGGCTTCCCTTGCATTTTATGGCAACACTAAAACTGCTTTGCGGGGAAGCCATCCCACCGCGCCTGTACATTTCGGAACAATATTCATATACATAAAATTTTTAAATGAAAGTCGTACGTTCCAAATTAAGAGTATTTTCATATTTGGTCGATTATCTTCGAAACTGATCGACAGATTTTAATGAAACGTGGTAGGAAAACCTTGTAGGTAGTTTGATTTCACACAAAAAATATACCATATAATATTCATGGCACACACGCGCTATTCTACCTAACTCTCATTCGCATAGAAAAAAAGAGGTTTAAAACAAGAGGTTTTTCAAGATCGAAGAAAATGGATGGCATGGTCTCCCTCTAACAGTCATAACAGCTCTCAAGAACGTGACTAAAGGCTGGAAATGTGACAGTTTATGAATCCCTACGACAATCGGTCCCACTCCTGCAGCAACGCTATATTTGGGATAAGGAAGACGAGACCCACCTGTCCTCCCAGTAGCGTCCCAGACATATGCTTTGCGGTTTAAATTTGGCGACATGGTAAGCCAAGCATCCAGTAATTAATCTCACTTTTCAGGAAATCGTCTGTTAGATGAACTCCACGTGGACGAGCGTTGTCATCCATAAAAATGAGCTCAAAGCCAACTGTACTCTTGTAAAGGCGAACACAAGGCTGTAAGATCTCTTCCTTATACTACTTCCCAGCAATCATAGAAGGTATGTCAAGGAAATGAAAGTCTGTGTCGCAATCCAGCATGATGCCTGCCCAGATTATCAAGCCGCTGTCATGCTGGTCTTCTCATAGGATGGAAGGACAGGTAGCGAGTCCATTGTTTCCTCCAGATGAAGGTATATGGTTGCTTAACAAGTAAATCATAGGTTCGAAAATCTGAGCCGACACTTTTTAAAAACACCAACATTTATTTTCACGCCATTTCTAATTCTACAAAATCTTAAATGCAACTAACTATCAAACAGAAAGCAGACGTAGACGTAATGATGCATCTGGGCACGTGATCCTCGTGACAGACGAATTCTTTAGGGTTGCCACAGAAAGGCAGTGTGTCGCCACAATTCTCCCCACCTTTTGAGTGGGTGGCTACACACTCAAAACATAAATCTTACATTAATATAAATCAGGGTTACACAACAAAGAAAATTACTTAAGACTTAAATCATATTACTTGAAAACAAAATTAATACTGAGAAATAATGCAGCAATAATAGCACAATAAAATAAATCATAATAACTCAAAGAAATGAATTACATTGTTCATGATTTTACAACTCTGCCACTACCGGTGGTGAAAGGAACTTGATCACCTTGAGTATTATCTACTATATTATCCAGTTGCAATCTAAACAATCTCTGTATTGGTCTCAAAAACTCTGAATTATTACTTTTTACAAGAGCAACTCTTATGTTGCCATCTCGACCACGGGGCACCCGAATAACGCGTGCTAAATTCCAATATGCACGGTTTTTATTTTGATCCTCCAGCAAGACAATTTCTCCTATAGAAAGAGGTTTATTTTTGTAATTTCTGGTAGACTGCTGTCTTAACTGCCCTAGATACTCAGAGCGAAATCTCACTCTTAACAATTCTCTCATTCTCTGGAGATACTTCGCTCTTCTACTCAATTTTCCTTTGTCACATTGTCAATATCAGGTACACCCGACTGTAGAGTTTCATGCAGAAATTTTTCCGGAGTTAAAGGCAAGGGATCTTTAATATCGTCAGACACATACTTAAGTGGTCTTGAGTTGACAATACTTTCACAATCACACAAGACGGTGAGTAACTCTTCATAGCCAAGAGAAGCACGACCTACAATTTTTCTCAATATTTCTTTACAATTTGTATTAAATGCTCCCACCATCCACCCCACCAAGGGCGGATGGAGGATTAAATTTCCATTATATTCTCTTTTCAGCAGGCTTAGAGTAGAAGGCAGTCCCAGTCAATGATTTGCAGAACTCTCTCTGCACCCACAAAATTTGTCCCATTATCGGAATATATGGTGGTAGGGCGTCCACGACGTGCGATAAAACGACTTAAAGCTTTAAAAAATTAGTCAGTTGTTAATGAGGTAACCAGTTCCATATGGATAGCACGATAAACCGCACATGTGAAGAGCACAATATATGATTTTCGTCCATCCTTTAAATGCAAGGGTCCTGCAAGATCACATCCTACGATTTCAAAAATTGCTGAACCTTTCAAAAATTGCTGAACCACGAACCCTATTATTTGGTAAAACGCCCGGGACTGTCTCACCTCTTTTAGCCTTAAATCTCTGACATGTTATGCATTTTCTTATACAGTTCCTTATAGTTTTACGTGATTTTAAGATCCAGTATGTTTCTCTTAAATGCGACATCAATAATGTAGTACCTGCATGTAACAAATCTTTATGTGCACTTAATATCAATAATTTGACTACTGGATGTTCAGAAGGTAATATGATGGGGAACTTAAAGCTGCTAGAGTCGTCACGATAAGCAACATTAGACTTAGCTCTTATTAGACCCTAACTATCGACAAATGGTCTGAGTCGTCTTAGCTTATCATCTGTTTCACCATTAAACGACTCTTTTTGTATTAATTGCATTAAAGCTATTTCTTCCCTTTCTATTTCAGATACAGTAAAATCCTTAGAATGGTTGTTATTATTATTCTTACGTACATTATTTTAAAACCTGAATATCCACGATAACATTCTTACAATTTTCTTAAATGATGATAAATACTTATAGTAACATCCAATACAATTATCATTCTTTACCAACATAACAATAACTGTCTTACATATTTCTGAATTAAATAGATCCTCATCTGGTTCATCATTAGATTTAGGCCAATTTGCCTCATCTTCCAATCAGGTCCCTCCCACCATTTTCGTTCTATTAATTGATCTGCCTAACAACCTCTAGAAAGTAGGTCAGCCGGATTGAGACTACCAGGGACATGTCGCCATACAGTGGGAGAGGTCAAAGACCTGATTTCCTGTACATGATTAAAAACGAATGCTCCCCAACATTGATTTCGCCATATTCAACTAAAAGCCGTCAAGGAGTCAATTCAACAGTGAATACGAACTTCATGTAGGCCAATCTTATTAATAACTAAAGGCAATAACCTAGAACCAATATTACAAGCAAGAAGTTCTAATCAAGGAATCGTAATAGGTTTTAAAGGCACTACTCTCGATCTTGCGTGTACCAAATTAAACCTTACCTTTTTGCCACTCTGTACTCTGTACTTTGCCACACTGTAAAGACGCATGCACCATACGCACTTTTACTACTGTTACAAAAAAGATGTATACTCACAGCTTCATTAATAAATTTGAGACCTACCCATCTAGGTATTTGAATACTGGATAGCAAGTACATCTTTTTACGCCAAAACTTAAACTTTTTGGTAAATTCATCGGGAAGAACATCGTCCAATTTAAGCCTTAAATTCCAAGTTTCCTATAAAATTAGTTTTGGAATCAACATTACAGGAGCTGTATGCCCTATAACGTCAAACACCTGATGAGTTACTGCTAAAACTAGTCTTTTAGTAACTGGATCATCCATTTTATATCTTGACTTATTTTGCAAGATAAGGTATCTGTAACTGTATGCCATACAAGGCTCAAAACAGACACATCTCCTTCCGCGGAGGAATCTTCCTCTGGCACAACACTTCTTATATTAGATTTCCAGGATCTTAAATTAAAATGACCGAAGCCATAATTATTTGTAATTCATTTACAAACTTTCTCATTTCTACTTCTGAATTCATACTAGCCACACAGTTGTCTGCATAAAAGGGTGTTTTCAAAATCTCTGCTGTATGACTAAGTTTTCAGGAACTGCACTCAAATGATGTAGTACTGTAGTGGCCAATAAATATGGACTACACGTAATACCAAAAACTACCCTTCTATGCCCGATACAGTTCAACTTGTTCTTGATTATCCATACTGAACCATACAAATCTCAAAAAGTCTCTGTCTTTATCCCTTATAGATATTTGCAAGAATGCTTTTTCTATATCTGAAGTGACACCAACGTAATTCTTGCAAAACTGATTAAGAATTGAAGGTGTAATTTCAATTAAATTTGGTCTAGTAGATAAACAATCGTTCAATGATGGGTAACCAGGCGAATGAGAACTTGCATTAAACACTGGTCTTATACTCGTGCTACTATTTTCTTTAACAACTGCTCTATGAGGTAAATAATGTACACCCTTATACTTATTCTTCTCCGGTACTTTTTCCATTATTCCGAGTGCTAACCAGTTCTGGAAAATGTCTCCGTAAGCGTCAAAATTTCCCGTCTTCATTAATTTTCGTTTAGTACTTACAAGACATTTTTATAACTTTGTTTTCGGGTAAAAGCGAGCTATCCGCCACCCAAGGTAATGCTACTTCGTACCTTCCCTCTGAATTTACCGTAAGAGTCTCTTCAAAATATCTTTGCGTATCCTCCTGTAACTGAGTTTTGTTTTTACTTACGGAAGGTTCACTAATACCCAAAACATCTAACTTCCAGAGATCACTACTACATTGACCCTTCAGGGCCGGATTAAGGGTGTCGTAGGCCCTAGGCACTCCAGCAGCGTAGGCCCCGAAATAATAAACATTTTTTAACTGAAATTGTCCGCTAATATTAAGTAATAATTTTGTTGTAGATATAAATCCGAAAATGTGATGATGCGGTAAAATAACATTATTTTATTTTGGGATTTTAATGTTTTTATTTTTCATAGAGCCATTTTCAATAGCCATAATTCCAGAATTGAGTTTATCTGCAACAATGCAACTTTTATATCTACCAAATTCCATGCAGAATTCCAGGGTTTTTAGTACATGAACATGACAAGACATTAGCCGCCGGGAAAACCTCTCGGACGGGCACATGCGTTTGACACAGTTGGCCACGTTTCCATGCCCACTACCAAACGCTTGCGCGCGATCGAGAGGTTTTCCCTGCTGCTAAGGTCTTTTGTTTTAGTAGCTCAGTTGTGTAATAAGTTTAATATGTAAACACTACGATAGAGCGTGTATGCCTGTGCTTGTATTTAATCACGCTCAACCCCAAGTCAATCTTTAGTTTAAAAACTGGAAGTTAAATTTATTATAAGTAAGGTAAGTAAAGGAAAGTTGTTTTTTACTCTACTTATTTCAACCTAGTTTTTGATTCTGGAATATTGCTTCATTCCATTATAAATAATAGAATTTTCATTTTATCACTTCTTATTAGTATAATAGTCCGCCGTAGAATGCAGCACAATGCAAGGAACTTTGAGTAGGCCTACTATGGGGTGGTTTGGCCATACTATTGTAAAAATCTCCAGTAGTAGTCGTAGAATAGTACAGTCCAAATCACCCTTTGGAATAGCTTAATTTTAATCCATACTCGTAAAATTCCGGGTTTCGTTTTTACAAGTTTAAAATGCATTACTTAACAAATTTTAAAATAACTTTTTAGCTTTCTGATAGCATAATAAAAGCGACGGGCGCAAACTAAAATGTATATTTAAAGGTGACGAGAAGAAGGAGAAAACAAGTTTTAAATTTTAGTTTGTGCGTGCCCATCGCTTTTATTATGGTATATCAGAAAGTTAAAAAATTATTTTAAACTTTTAAGCGCAATTTATAAAAGCTTTTTTTAAATATTTTTTTTTAGCGAAAAATGTCTGATGGATATAAAAGAAAACACCAAAGTGGACATGAAAAACGCAAAAAGAAAGAGAAAGTGAGTGAGTCGCTTAGTAAAAGTTTCCCAAATGTTAATATTGCATTGCGCATATATCTTTCGATATTGGGTTCGAATGCAGAAGGAGAAAGATCATTCTCTAAGTTGAAGCTTATAAAAATTTTGCGTTCAACTATGGGTCAAGAGAGGAACTTCGTCACTGGGCCTTCTGTGTATGAAAGTGATGTCGCTCGCGCATTAATTTTGAAGATATAATACATTCGCTGTGTCAAATCCCGAAAAAAGGAGTTATTTTAGGATCTACTAGTAAACCAAACGTTGTATTCGATTTTTTGTGTATTTGTATTTACATATATTATTTTGACCTTCACTATATAATAATATAAAATGTTTATAAGTTTTTGGGGTATTTTATTTCAATATATTTTTTTTTCAAAGCCCTAAGACCTTTGGCCTTCGTAGGCCCTAGGCATGTGCCTACTGTGCCTAATTGGTAATCTGGCCCTGTGACCCTTTACTAACAGAGAAGAAATTAGGAGGGATGCAGTATTTATCGTGGTTGGCTCAGTGCTAGTAAATTTACCCATAACAGTCCAGCCTAACTGCGTATGCACCGCGCTGACGCCACACGTAAGGCGTACGCGCTGACGCCACTTTTAATTTTTCCAGTTAGCAACTTACCAGCAAAATTTGCACCAATTAGTAATTTTATCTCTTTATCGACATTACATAGACCATTTTCTAAATCACTTAATTTGATACCATGTGACTTAAATTTGCATAACGACGAACCAGATGGGAGTTGTTTAATTTCAGAACAAACTTTGTTTTGGCCAAGTACCTCTAATTTACACTTATATTTACTATATATATTGCTTACTTTAAAAAACAAAACAATAACATAGTTTTTATACACATTTCTGAAGTCTCAACTCCACCAAAAGAAATTGCTTAATTTTTGATTCACCCATACACTTACAATTTAACCTTGAGCAACATCATTACATAAATATGATTTCATAGAACCACTATCATAAATTGCTCGTACAAACATTCTTTAGAAACCATTCTGATTTTTACAATTAACGTTTGAAGATAAACATCTGTACCTTACATAGAAAAATTATTAAATGTCTGTTTTTTCCTTGTTTCGTCATTCCCTAACTTTGTTGGCACTTTTTGCTTTGTTAGAAACGGCATATCAGGGCACATAATCACAAAATGTCGATTTTTACATAGGTACACCTATGTTTAGCTGTACACTGATTTACTCTATGGTTTTTTCTTAAGGACCAAACAACATCTTTTTCTTAATGATATCTTTCTGAATGCATTACAACCCAGACTTTTTTTCAAAAATCAAATCACTTTTTCTTTGAAATTATTACTATTGCATTAATTAATTTACAACTTCACATTTTTTTTTTCAAAAATCACAAAGTCTTTTTATACTTTTTTGAAAATTTTTTTTTACTAGTTCACATGCAGTTGGAACAACGGTTTTTTGTGTCAAAAAACTATTTTTCTTATTACTTACTTTATCAGAACCCAAAACATCACGGGTAAGTTTAAATCTAAATTCAGTTTACTCCCTTTTTAGAAATCAATTAATGACTCCAATCACTCTTACCTGTTGTTTCAGGTGACATACCTGGCTGTCTTTCCCAATTTGTATTAAATCCGCAGGAAGTGCTGATTCCACTAAAGGAAATAAAACAACTGCAAATTTATCTTTAGTTAAACCGAGTGTTTCCAATGCGCGTAGTTGAGTTTGCAACTTGTCATAAAGAGTTAATAAGTCTATCTTTTCATTGTCATTGATTACCAGTTTTAATAGCTCTCTAACATAAATTTGAATTAAGATATTTTCATTTCCAAATCGCTCTTTGAGATACTCCACGGCTTTTTCGTAATTTTCTTCCGTAGCAGGAAAACTTTTCACTATTGCTCTTGGCACAGTCTCAGGTTTTGTAGATTGCAGTAGATAATGAAACTTGTCTCTCTTGTCGATGCGAGTATCTTCATGTATTTTACTAAACCTCGTCCAAAACGTCAACCACTTTTCGGGAGTCTCCATCGAACTTCACCAGTTCGATCTCCGGCAGTTTCTGTTTTGCGGCCGTAACTATTCCTGATGAAGAACCGCTATTCGTTGAACCAGTAGAAGGCTGTGAACACTTATCCTTTTACCTGTTGGCTTTTACTTTCAACGTAGATAATTTATCGTAATACTCTTGAGCTGCACTAAATTCTCTTTCGTATTCTTCTTGAGTACAACCTTTTTTCTGTAGAAGTTCCAAAAAAGAGTCATCCGTATTTCGTAAAGTTTTATACTTCTCTGAAATTTGATCTAAATAAATTTCTAAATCGTCCAAATCCGGAGAATCTGATCGTATCAGTTCTTCTAACTTATCAGCTGTTTTCGTAAATACACTCCAAATTGCTTTCCGCTTCTGTTTTAGTGTTTCTAAATCATCCGTGTTTGCACCTAGGAACTTCTCTTATTTTCGTAAATTATCAAGTGTCGAAATCGATAATGTCACCCTGTGACATTCATCCTGGCAGTCTCGCCAAATTTGTTGCTTAACAAGTAAATCATAGGTTCGAAAATCTGAGCCGACACTTTTTAAAAACACCAACATTTATTTTCACGCCATTTCTAATTCTACAAAATCTTAAATGCAACTAACTATCAAACAGAAAAGCAGACGTAGACGTAATGATGCATCTGGGCACGTGATCCTCGTGACAGACGAATTCTTTAGGGTTGCCACAGAAAGGCAGTGTGTCGCCACATATATCAAAAATTAATGGGCAGAATGAATCGCGATTCTTTCTCCCTCACTGATGCTTTACCCAAAGTCGAGGCCATGTGAACTATACTAAATGGGCTATCTTATTCGCAGAATTAAGCGAGACGCAAAAATCAGGTCTTCGTGCAAATGTAGACCTTAAAGCCCAAAGTTTGCCTTTACAGAGTGCATTGCCTCTGCAAAGGCAAACTTTGCAGAGTGCATTTAGTTTTATGTTATGTTTTATGTTATGCACCTTGCAGAGTGCATTTAGTTTTATGCACGAGCTGCTCGCCCACACTGGGTTAATTTGGTGGATGATCTTCTTGAAAGTGAGGATATTAACGGGATGATTAGGACAGCCGGATCTTTAGACTTAAACCTTATTGAACATGTCTGGGACATTCCGGGATGGGCAGGTACAGGTAAAAGTATGGGGGACACCAGAGATGTACCATAGATCAACTGGTAATGCCTTCACATACTAACTCTTAAAAAATAAAAAAATAAAAAAAGGGGCGGAATTGCAAGTTTTTTTAAAATTTACATAGACTAAAGCTTTCCAAATCGTCTAGAGTTTGCCTATTATGGTACATCGTGCAATCCCATCGTACGGGTTCACAAAATAAATTGAACATCTGATTTGGTGCAACAAAAATAGGAGATAAACATAATTAGTAAACAGATAAACATAATGAGATAATTATAATTATTACTGGCAACAAAATGTTATAATGAATTGTAATAATAATGCTAAAGAGGTGGGTGT